TAACGTAGTAGAATGAAGCAGGGTGAGGCTGAAAGCCGTCGAAGTGAAAGGAGGCCGCTGAACAAGCGCGACACACGACTCGAAAGCAGCAGAGCTTTTATTATGCCACAGTCAACCGCTTCCGCTCCTTCCAGTCGTGCGTATGTGGGGAAAAAAAGCAGCGCTGTTTTATCATACTAGATATATTTAAAAGTTCTGTTATTATGCTACTCTGTGCGGTCGTCACCGGTCTTTTAAAACGCACAACATATTAAAGCGTCTTTGGTGTTTGTATGTTTTCTACAAAACAAAACCGGAAATCGAGGGGTTATGACGTTATTGGCAGGCGACACAATGACACTATGGACACGGTCTGTGTCACTAGATAAAATTGCTTATTTCTCCTGTTCTTGTGGTTTTTGGATATTTTAATTAAAAAATCGTACATATTGTGCCTTTAACCTATAGTTGTTCCAAGTTGACTTCCGTTTTTTTTTTTTATCGCTGTACTATGAAAGTCAATGGGGATCAGCAACTGGTTTCCCATATTCTTCATGTCTTATGTTCAACAGAAGAAAAAAAAAACTTGAGGGTGAGTAAATGACAGCATAATTTACATTTTTGGGTGAACTTTCCCTTTAAATGCTATAAACTGAAGTTTATCTTCAAAGGCTGGCATGGAAGTGTCATTTTACAGTGATATCAAAGACTAGTGTTGCTTTGTGTATCTGTCTAGGATACAGTAATCTGACATCCTTCGACCTTAAAGCATTCAGCATTTATTAGGCATGCCTACATAGCTTAATATATTAATATCTCCCCACCTCACAGAATGTAGGGGAATTCCGGCCCCACACCCGAGTGCCAACGTTAGATTATGGGTTGACTCCCCAACTCCCAGATGCTCACACACACATACATACATTTACTACCTTCAACCCCCATCCACAGCCAAGCCCAGTTCAGCCACACACATTCCGAATGCTGCATAGCGGTGGTGTTGCTATCATATAGACAGCGAGGGGGAATTCCGCTCTGCTTGGTCGTCAGCGTGTGCTGCTACTCAGCAGGAACAATGAGACGCTGGGCTCTGGCTTGGTGTCATATTTCAGATGGAGAGGGTCATCGTGATTTCACTGACAGTCTTATTCTCTCTACTGCTCCTAAATGTCATGTTAACACTGGTTATTGTTGTTGCATTAGACAGGAATAGAGTATGGCCTTTGTGGGGGGAGAGGCAATTAAGAATGGGTTGTGTTTTTACATTCCGAATGGGTGCAGTGCCTTCTTTCCACCATTAACGCGGTAATGAATACTGTATCAGTTTACTAAATGAGATTTGAGTTCAAGTCGTTTGTTACTGTAATTAGCAGTATTGCAACTCACATCACTGTTTTTGTTTCTCATAATTAGGATAAGGGTTTTCGTAACTCCTACGTCACTGGTGTGAAAGATATGGATGATTTTTCAAATTGTGCAGCTTGTGATTTTTTTTTTTTTTTGGTCTTAAAGGAGCTGTAAATATCTAGTGACAAAAGTATACAGGTAGACTTAAACTATTTAAAAACATTTTTATTACTTGAAATAAATGTTAACTAAAATAACTAAACCTATTTTATTTCAGCTAGTTGCCAAGCATTTCTCATTTTTATTTAGTGTAACTTGATTTGCAAAAATAATGGATAGATATGAATAGATATCTATAAAATGAATAGATAGTTTTGACAATATTTATATTAAATAACAAAACTATTAAAAACGATAAAAACACAATTTACTCAAATTAAAATGAAAATTGATCATATAAAAATGAATTTGAAATATTACTAAAAACTATAATAGTATCTCAGTGATACTAAAATAACACAGTAACTACCTGAAACTACCATCTAAAATTAATGAAAACCTGGCAACACCCTTAGAAACCATTCAGAAAACCATAGCAACTATATTTTAACACCCTGGAAACCACCCACAACACCCTCCAAAACCCTGGAAGTAACTTTTGCATGCACACCCATATTTTCTTTAGATCATTTAAAATGTTTCCAATACAATACCTGCAGTTTTGGAAACTTATCAAAATACTGTTTTTTTTTCTTCACCTGAGAAACATTTTACATAGAAATTGTGCCCTGATACACTTGGCAGAATTACTGACTTAAATTTTCTTTCCATCTCTTTAGATTGAGAGAACCAGCAGCAGCCTGTCTCTCATGGGCTGAAGGTTCTTTCCTGGCCTCCATGTCACAAGGCCAGGGCTCTCAGGGTACAGATATCCTCGGACAAGACGTCCTCAACCAGCTGCTGGAGATGCTGGACCAGTGAGTTATGAAGTACCTTACAAATTCACTCATATTTTAATAAATATTTAAATAAAAGCAATAAACTGTAAAAAAAAAAAAAAAAAAACACTTGTAAATTATTGAAGTGTGTCTTATTCGAAAATACAGCTTCAGTCTTTCTACTTTCATGTTCAATTCAATTTATTACTTGCTGTTACTTTGTAATTGTGATATTTACTATCAGCTTAAGAATAAAAATTGTTTAAACACCATTTATTAGTGTATAAGCAGTAACCCACTTATTGGATGACATTTTATTTAACAAAAGTTTTAATTAATACATTTTACTTTATCTTCTTAATAAGAGTAAAAATATGCAAGTGTAAATAATTAAATAACAAAACAAAACTGTTTTCAATCGATTTACTGGTTTCTGTTCTAGGTCTGCGCTACATTCAATGCAGCCTATCGAGCTCAACTTTTCTGAGGGCTCTGCAGTTGGATCAGCATCCAATACCATACAGATTAGTATGGACTGCATCACGATGCGTGGGTCTGAGGAGCCCCTAACAGTGAGTACTTCATTTCACTAAACGCATCCCAAAAAGCTTTTCACACATTTTCACATTTAAAAACTGCACCAAAGTGCAATAACAATTTCGGATATCCTCAGGCCCTCCAGGACCAAGTTTGGACAGCCCTGGTTTAGAGCATAAGAAAAAAATGGTAAAATTACATTTTTGAAAAATTATATTATATTCATATGTTATGCTATGTCCTCTGTAGAGGACAACAGGACTCAGTTTTTCTAAAAAATAAAATGACAAGAATAGACATGAAAAGGCTAAAACAATGGGGTTTTTTTTTTTAAATCACCAATCAATTTTTAGGTTTCAGGATTTTTTTATACCTAACTTTGTTTAAGGATGGTTCTCAACTATGTTATAAAATATATAACAAAATGATTTGATATACCATTTTGCTTTATGCAATATATGTTTATTTATGACAAACAATTAGAAAATTAATCCGATTTACATTATAATTACAAAATATTATATTTTGCCGTATTTCCATAAGGATGTACAATTTTATCACTAAATTAATTTCAGCCATTTTTAAAAACCAAGGAGAGGGAGTGGTCATGGTGAAACATCCAATCATTTAGTATCTCTGGAAAGCCGTGAATGTGCTCTGTACAGGACATCCAGACTTAAAACTGTGACATGTGAGGTCTCAGAGAAATTCACTAAAATATAATGTCTACTACAGAGGCAAAAACTCCATAGCTGGGTCTCAGGAGGATATTGCAGTGTCATTAAGATCTGAGGAATTACTGTGGTGCCCTTTTTTTGACGCATTTCGAGATGGCAGATTATGCAAAATGCAAGTTCTGACCTACTTGAATGAATAAATCCTCTTTAAATATTAATTTTAGTCAGGTTTCATTTTGTTAAAAGGAGCCAAAGCAGATTGTTGATAAGTGATTCTTGACTCAAATTATCTCCTCCTATGTAATGTAATAGTGATGCCAGTGTATACACATAAATGTACACATATAAATAGCCCTCTAGACTGTTTTATAGATTTACCATTACTGTAACTTCACATAGCATAAAACTACAAAGAGTTTAGATATTTTAAAATGAACAAAAGCAATTAATACAGAATATTTAATAATTTTCTTAAAACTTAGCTTGTTTTCCTACTACTTGCAGTGCTCAATTGTTGAATTCTGTCAAAATCCCCCGCAAAGTTTAAAGCAAATGTACATGGGGATTTTTCTAAAACCTCCTACTGAATGGTCTCAGATGGGCTGTTTTTTGATGTAGCAGAAGATAATTCGATTTTCAATACAGTAATAACCGTTTGAATCTCTGTAATATTTTTGTCCATTTGTTTTAGTGCCTTTTTATTTAAGTTTGTCTAATTTGCTTTTAAACATTGAACAGCAGTCAGACATTTTTCAATGTGTACGAAATTCGTAAGTAGAGTACAACAATTATTTTATCACTTATGAAACTTGGTTTTGTTTAGTGTGATCACTCGAGTGAATAATTTCAGTAGTGGGGAATTTAGTGGTAAGCCCCAGCAAAAACAGTTACCTTTTGGGGGTGTTACTGTTTATTGGGGGTGTTTATGGGTTTTCCCTTGTCATTCTGGATAGTTTTGGTGGCAACAAAGTCAAAAGGTATGTCCAGGTCCGGATGAACACGCTAAATATAAAGTCCTGATGACAATAGCCTTGCTTTGCTACAATGGAACGTCTTGTTTGAAAGACTTCGGATGTAGCATTGTGTCATGCAAGAAAAATATTTTTTGGGTGAGCATAAAAATCTAAGGGACTGAAGTGGATCAATGAATTATGAAGATGGAGATTTACAACAATGCTACACATCAGACAGTTTCTTCTTTGGTGTAAGTTAGCATGTTCCCCTTCTATACTCTGGACAAGATTTGTTTCTAGTTCAAACTAATTCCAGAATTAGTTCTTGTGATCTGTAACACTATTTAACAAATGTTAATTCATAAATTTGATGTAGGTCGTGCAAAATCTGTGTATCCCTTGGGCAGATTCTATCAACATGTATAGTTCTAACATTGTGTTTACACATAACAGAAGAGCAATGGAAAGTTTGACATTAAATGTATGACCTGTAGCTGATGCTGAGGCCTTGTTGGTTTTCTCTGGGCGCGCAGGAGAATTAGTTGGTTGTGGCTCCCCTCCCAGCAGAGGAATGCAGTTGTCCGGTAGTAAAGATGGGGAAAAAAAGGGAGAGACTGAGCAACGCTTTGCTTCTCTGGCCCTGAGGGATTATCTTTTCTCTTGATCTGGTGATTAATACCCCCCATACAACACCACCCGCCCCCATCTTCCTCGCAGTAAAGATCGGGCGTGGTGCGCTAACACTGGCACGCTAACACTCCGTCCCTTGCCAGCTAGCATTCGTGTTGATCGAAAACCTAGAAAAACTGTGGCAACCTGCCAATCGTTTGCTGCAAAGATGCTCATTAAACTTTGAGGAACAAACTTTTAGACAGCGGTGGGCATAGTTGCCATCCCATTAAAGGAATAGTTCACCTAAAAGTAAAAAAATTTATTTTTACTCACCCTCATGTCGTTCCAAACCTGTATGACCTTCTTTCTACTTTAAGAATTTTGAAGAATGTTGGGGTCCAAGCATTATTGGACTTATTAAATGTACAAAAAAAAATTATTTTTAGACAGAATTTTCCTTTTTGCTAAACTGTCTCCTAATAACCAGCTTATGAGTGTTCGGTAAACTCCTTCACCAAAAGAAAAGGGGTTGCCGCCTTCATTAATTATTGGATGATGTGCGCTGTTTGGCACCCTCAGGGTCCTCTGTGTTTGTATTGTGCAGGGATGTTTTAATCTGAAATTGCTCTTTCTTGGGTAGGTGTGCTTTCTCTGTAGCTGCAGGGCAGCAATTTAGAGCAGCACCTGCCGCTGTGACTGACTTAGGCTTGTGTCCTATTCTGTCTGTGTGAGATCGGGGATGGGGGAGGAGAAACAGAGGTGTGGAGTCAGGTAGAATGGAGGAATGTGACAGAGGAAAGCTTGTGTCCTGACATCAAACAGCTCAGCTGATATCATGGTGAGATGGAGCAGCTAAATGTGGTGAAATCACAGATGCATTGTTCCACATTTTGTTATTAATTTCAAAAGACATTTGGCCTGGTGAAGCCTCATGGGTACATAAAAACTGCAGTTCAAAAGTGTGTGGCGTTTTGTATGTATATATGCAGCCTTAAATAATTTTGTGTGGGTGACACCAACTCATATAAACACTCCAGACAGAGGTGGATTTAAGCCTAATGGTTTTTAGTTGTATCACTTACACTTTTCCACAACATTACAATGCACAGTGCTGCTTTTTTTTCTCCCATCAAAACCAGTATCAAACTAAATAAAGTGACACAATAACTGATTCTATATTTTGCCAACCGTTTCGGTTATATATAGGTACTGACAGATTGGTGAGAGAAAACGGCTGTGCATTAAGTACATTTTTGGATCAGGGTGTTGCTGAGCAGCAAGAATTCAACATATGTCTCTTGAATACACTGAAGGTGGTGAGGCAATGGTTTGTTTAGGTTGTGTTGTGCCCTAGCCCTTGATTAGTCATTTGTAGTGTTCTTTTCAAGTAGAGCCTGACTCAGCATTAGGCAGGAACACATAATTAAGGCGTGCTTCCTTACCGCCATCCATCCATTCTGTAGCTACTGTTCATCTTATATTTTATCCTTGACATTTCTTGTGAATTATTTAAAATTTTGATTAGTGCATTTTTTTGTGATTTAATAACATTTTCTTAAATGGCTCCCCATTTATTTAAAATAAATTAAAGGATATGTTTACGTGTAAATGTGAAAGTTTTCATAGTGCAGATGCATGTTCAGTTCAGATCACCAGAGCCACTCAAAAATGTTTTTCTTAAAAAAATATTTCAATTCAATGCGATTCTCTTCGACTCTTGATTTGAGATTTAACTCCACAGTTTAAATCACGACTGCTAAATCACTGCTGACTCTTCACCCCACCAGTTTGCCTCAAGCGAAATGAAACAGTACAGAGTAATCCATCTAAACATTTACCTCTCTTTTTTTTCTCTCTCTCTCTCTCTCTTTTCCCTCTGTCTCTTTCCTTTCCTCCACTCTCTCCTTTTTACACGGTTTTCTCTTAAACTAATATACATCAAAGCATTAGGACATGTTAAGTATTTGTAAGAACTATACAACTCCATATAAATACAACACTAAAGGAAACAATTCCGCAGTTACCTTTGACCTGGTTTGTTTGAAAGGCTCTGCATTGTGGTACGATTGTGTAGGAGTTGGCATTTTTTTGAATTAGTCTTTAAAATGTTTGTCAACAGCTAAAAGGATACCATTTACTGAGGTCAGACATCATAATGATTTGAAACGAATAACTTTTAACTAATAACAGAACGTAACCATCCCTCGAAGACTTGACATGGATCAAAACAGGATAGTGAGGACTAGTGCCAATTATGCTGTAAAACAATTCTAAAGTTCAGAGTACAGGTGTTGACTTTTGCTCTCTGATGTCCACAGGTGTTTAGTCTTTGACATCACAAACGGCTTATTATCCTGAACTATAGCACTGTTAGCCATCAGCTAGTGAATTGAGTTGAAGTAGATTCCCACATCGTTGGATTTTCAAAAGTAAATCCATTGAAGAGAAAAAAAAATCATCATCATCAATATTATTATTATTATTATTTTATATTTATTTATTTTGCAATATAAGTACCACAATACCATTGGGAATGATTTGTCGGGTCATATAACCAGCAAAATCTCTTTATGTAAAATAAACCCTTCTTTTTTTCTCACTCCTGCTGCGTTTCTTAAACAGGTGTCACTTAAAACACTAGCCATAAAATAAATAAATAGCCATAAAAAATAAAATATGAAATAAAATAAAAGATACTTCTTACCCCTCTTTATTTATTACTCCTCTATTAAAGGGGTGATGCAGAGTTTCTTGAACAGGTGTCTCTCAAAACACTAGCCACCTGACACATGACACCTCTCTAATCCGAGAGTTGTAAGCCCAAACAGTCCTTTAAGTGTCCATATAGATCTAAGTACAGCATCCTTTGTCTGAGCCACCGGGAAGCTTCAGTCGGGTTCACCACCTTTATGCAGAGCCTGTTTATTGCCTGACAGCAGTTGCCTAATTTAGCCTAATTGTTTTACATGTGTGTATGAATATATTGTATATGTATCACACAAATAGGAGTTGACTTGACGAGTAGAATCTTTATTTAGATTGATTCGGATAGGGTGTTTGGGATGTTTGCATTTTAATAAGAGTGGATAGGGCAAAAAATAAAACGGCCACATCATTATCTAAATTTAAATTTAAAGCCTCAAAGAATCCAAGAGTCTTTGAAATGCATGCAATTTCATATACAATTGATCAGCCATTTGAACTAATGATCTAAGTAAATATAATCTACATATTCTGTTTTATGAATGGCCATGCCTCCCTAAAGCAAAATCTTTTTAGGGGCTTACTACTTCTGACTCTAGTCTGTGGTATAATTTGTGATTGTTAGGTGGGTCAGGTTTAGGGGTCCAGCCCTTTGTGCACCGTGACTATTGTCACCTGAGGCTGTCCCTTAATTCTGTCACCTCTGACCCCCACGGGACACATAAATAAATTCTTGACAAGGAGTAGCCTTACAGGGCAGTGCAATAAACACTTTAAAAACATTTTACATATTAACATCTGTTAATAAAACATGCAGACAGTACAAACAATCTTAGATTATAGGAATAATGAAAGTGCAGACAAATATTCTATAATTTCAAAAAACATTTTTTGAAAGAAGACCAAGTCACCAAGTTTGATCAGAAATAGAGTATAAACAGTAATGATATCTGTGATATAAAAAAAGTAATATATTTAAATAACATTTATTTCATACTAAGTATAGTTCAAATCTGTTAACATATTTATAGACACATTGCTTGTGACTTACTGATATAAAAATTGTGCTACTTGTGCACAATGCACATTTCTTAATTTTAAGCCTAAAATGTGTTTTAATGTCACTACTGATGAGGATTGTATGATCTTTGAATAATATCGGTCTTTAAATGCAAGATATTTAAAGTGTGCCCAAAGTATACTTGCAATAGTTCCACTTTAGCACAATCAAATATACTTCAGTTTATCTTTAGTTGGACTTCAGCACTACTTCTGCACAATTAAAGTCCATTAAGTACAAAATTAGTTGTTCCAATTTAGCAAACTTTAAGTATACCAGGTTAGTGATCCTTTAAAAATCATTCTGGTTTTTTTTTTTTTTAAGAAACATCCATTAGCATTGTTGAAAAACATTGTGCAGCATTCTTTGAATAAAGTTCAAAAGATCAAATTTATTTGGAATAGACATTTTGTAACATTGTAAAATGTTATAAATATTTAGTAAATTGTGTACTGTCACTTTTTGTTAAATTTAATGCACACTTGCTGAATAAAAGTATTTTTTAAAAATCATACTGACATAACTTTTAAACGGTGTATGTCTATGTAACATGGATTCTTATAGATTGATGGAGCTCTACAACCTTGCTTCCAGGGTATTTAATAGTTAGCAGGTTTTCTTATTTTCCATGATAACTTTCTATAATTAATAGCAAGTGTAATAGACACTGCATGATGAATTGCGTATTGTAAGTAAACATGGAATATTTAGCTCTGGTCTTTTTAAATTATTTCAGACTTTTGCAAGAGTTCCGCTGCAGTCAGCTAAATTAATCACAACACCTTGGTTGAGTTGACAGCAGAAGCCCACAGTGATTTCAGTGCTATTGCAGTTAGGGCCTTAACCCCTATTGTTGTTTGCATCCAGTGTTTTTCTAAAGTAATTAGAAGTTTGTTTAGCTAACTCTAATTACCCCCCATCAAAAGTGCTCTGAATAACAGCTTCCCCCAGGAGGGTGTGAGCTACTGTTTTGAAGTATTTTGAAGCATTTTCTAGGTGTTGGTGGTAATAGTTTAATGTGTTTTTATGCTTGTTTAGTGCCATATACTGTAAAAGTGACTCATAGTGCATTAATGTTGCAGTCTGCAAATTTCAACGATGACTAAGTGGCATGAGACTGCTGTACATGGGGATGAGACTGCCAGCCTTAGGAATAGATAAGTGAACAGTTTTAAGTCAGTCTGGTAAACGGACCAAATTTAGCACATTTGGTTGGTAGAAGTATGAGTTCATTTACAAGTTTGTTGGTTTGTAAAGATGGTTTTGAAACAATTGATGAAGTATCTGATCATTTACAGGGCAAATATAATAAATGAGATGTATTGCATAGAGTAACAGTTTAACAAATTTCATGACTGGTCACCTTCTTCTCTATCACCTGATGAATCTAACATAAAGACATTTAAATATTCACAAAGAAGTGGGTTGGTTCACCCCTATCTGAAACAACATTAGTGTATTCAAAACAAATCTACACCAGTCATCTCTGATAGATACAAGCTGTCAACAGTAGTCCTATTGTTTCTCCTGAGACTGTCATAGGGCCATGCTAGAGGCTCTTTGGCTGGGTAGGGCTCATTCTTATGCAAACAGGGGCTATGGATGCTACTACTAGAGAAAATCTAGTGCTCTAAGGTCATTGTAGAACTATAAAGAGGATTCCCTCAAAAAGCAAGAGAGAATTGTGTGTCTGGAGGCTCCATGTTTCAGTGCAAGTCATTTACTGTGTCTCACAATTCTATCCATCATATTTTCCTATATAATAATACTAAAATTATTAAAGTTTTCCATTTATTTAGTTAAAAAATAAATCTAATTTATAGGTAATTTATCTGATTTAAATTTTAAGTGTGCTTCATTCTTGAATTAAAATAAGTAAATTAAATGGCAGACCTGATATAAGTCCTTTTGACTAATGTTTTAAGGTGTTAGTGCCTGTTTCATTATCATCACACTTGCACAGATTTTAATTAGACACATTTAATTCACATTTTACTTGTTTTAAATGTGAAACATTTAAGTAAAATAAAATCACTTCATACATTAAAAAATACTTATTTGTCTAGATAATATGTAAAAAAAAAATTTTAAAAAAATGCAATCATGAAAAACAATAGCAATTAAATAGTTGCTTTGGAAAACATCTAGGTCTAGTGCTTCGCAACTCCTTAGGGTTAAATCTTAAAGGAAGCGCCAGAAGACGGGCAACACCTTCCCAAAAGTAGGGTGTGGTATTGGACTCAGGTATTGGACAGGTAATTTCTCAGGACCTCCCTCTTCGTCCCTGGTATATATGGCAATCCCATTGAATTCCTATAGAGACTTTAAGCCTGTCCCGTTCACCTCTGTAGCCCACATCACACTTTTAGGGGATAAAAGAAGAAAAACAAGGGGTAAGAATCCTGGAGCCTGTGGAGCAAACAGCGGCTGCACTGCTCAACCTCAGCGCCAATATGTTGTACCTGGAGACCAATCCTCCCACATCATACAGTGAGGTAAGGCCCTTACGCTACCGCTGCCCATCTGGAGATTGAGTTGGTCCCAGTGCTAGATTCTGGGTTCTCAGGGAACCCTCTGAAGTAACTGGCAAGAGTGGCATCAAAAGTAGGCCTTGTAAAGGCTTTAGGATATATATTGTGTACCGTATGTTTTTTTCGCCTCTTACGGTGTTAACCAAAAACATTTGATAGGATGCTGTTTCTTATGAATATGTTGTGATTTGTGGTCCTAGTATAACACTTTGCATATGATTTTTTTTTTTTTTTACTTAATTATTGGTTTTGATTTCTTTGTGCACATGTTCGCCAATTTGTTTTATATCAACACTTTAGAAAGTGAAATGTTTGCATTTAATAAGTCATTGGTTTGAACTGTGATAATGAATTTTACAATGATGTGTGGGTGTGAAAAATCGGACGTGCGTCTATACAGATAAAAATCTATGTGTATTGCCTTAATGGTTTGCCTAGCTGCAGTTTTATCTACGGTGTACGGTACTCTTGGGTTGAGTCAAGGTATTTGACAAATAATGGATTTGTCTGGGACGGTGAGACTGATAATCTTGTTTGTATAGAACAATGGGCTGCGATTGCTTTGAGAAAGTACTAATGGAATCTACTTTTACTTAAGCTTAATATCACTCATTGAATGTTTACCTTTGTTTACAAACTGTTTCAGCAGGGGTTTTTTGTGTATATAAATACATTTTTCGTTATGTGCAAAAGCATTACTTTAGCTTCATTTGTGCAATTGCACTTAAGTCATTTCAAGTCATTGCACTGCTGTATCAGGAAAGGGGAAAAAAACAATTAATAATACTTTAAGCCCATATAATTGTGTGAGGTGTCAAAAGGATCATGATTTCACAGCTAAGCTTGAATTTCATGTCAGGTTGCTAATGTGTTTTCGAATCGTCATGGATGATAGTTATCAAATTTCTGGGTGTTTTTTTTTTTTTTTTTAACTGCAGCAATATGCCAACACTGATACATGGAATGCACATTTATTTATTTCCCCAAAATTATACTGTTTTGACTTTTTTTAGCATTATTTATTTTTTGTAATTAATTAAAAACTGAATAAGTTGTCAAAACTTTCATGAAACAGAACTTTCAGTATAATGCAACTTAAGCTTATATCTTGAGCATTCTAAGCCATCTGAGATAGCGGCCGGATCTGAGTTTGTTGTCTAAAAGCACCCCCATTCTTTCCTGACAGGTGGTAGTTCAGACTGTGATTTCAGTGCTGCCATTCTCTTGCACAAAGCTGTTGTCAACACAACACCGTTAGCTCAGAGACAAACCTATTGGTAGAAACATAGTCCGGTCTCCCCCCACCTCCCGCCCCTCCTTGTGTTTTTAAAGCTGGCTTAAGGTAACCAATCCACTGCCCACACAGCTTTGATTAATGCTTTTAAACGCTCTGTTTCTCGCTCTCTTTAATCATGGTAGGGGTTACGGGTCCGTAGACATGCATGTTTTGTGTTGTAAGAGGAGACATGGAGGTGCAAGGAATTTGAGAAAAAAGATGGTACTGTTTTTGCAAATGTTTTAAATGATGGTTCAAATAGATCAAATGTGGTAATTTCTTGAATTTGTTGCATCTTAAGCTTTTTTTTTTTGTGAGGTGAGGTTCGATTACTTATAGTTTTACGTTAAGGTTTGGTTTTGCTCTTTGACAGCAGGTTGTCCCTAAAGATGCGTCCATCTTTCTCTCATCAAAAGGGCTTCAGGTTAAACTCCCGCTCGTCTGACTGATAGATTCTGGAGCCGCTTTGAAGAATGTGTGCATCAAAGTGAACCTGAGAAGTCTAGGAATTGTAATTTTTTTTTTAACTATGGTAGATACAGATACAATCATCTGCTCTGCCCAGCCCACTGGGTACGAAGTGCGAAGAAAATAAGAGCACTCCCACCTAACCCCCCACCCCACCCCAATTTAGTGCTTAATGCTTTCTACCCCTGTGGTCACTCATCAAGGCCTCACAGATGTTCTCAACACCCATCCCGGGTTACAAACTGCCCAGGTCACTGGAACACACCCAGGAATGGCAGCCATTTCACCCCCAGGCCAGGGCAGCCTCAGCTCCTGTCACTACTCTTGAGTTAGTAGTCCTCATTTTGCTCTCAAACTCTAGACTTAAGTAGTTGTTAGAATGAAGTAGTAATTTAGTGGTTTTGGCCATTAGGGTTCATCTTGTGGAAACAGGAACAAAGACAGGTAGCATTCGAGGTTGAAAATCAACTGTAATGCTGGCACTGCTGACATCTGTCAACAGCACATTGTTAGAATGCATTGTTAAAAGATGCAACTGCAGTTCTCTGTTTTACCCTGGAATTCATTTGAGACTGTCAATCCAGAACCGAAAAGGAAATCTTAATCATTGGTTATTTTACTGTAACATAAGAAACTGATCAATATTGAACTTTAAGATTGGCTTGATCTTAGAAACAGCCATATTTATTTTTGATCGGGGTAGAAGAGAGTTTTGCTTGTAAACAAATCAGAGTGGTATATGCTGTATATATTATTATAGTATTACCTTTATGCATTTGGCAGACCTTATTATCTGAAGCAACTTCGCATTGCATTTCAGTTCATGCAATCCCTTGGAATCAAACCATGACATTGGTGTTGTTGGTGCCATGTTCTACACTTTGAGCTTGTTATATTATATTATATTATATTATATTTTGTTATTATATTATATTTTTCTCTTTCATTTTAAATTTAAACTGTGAGAAGGACTGAGCACCCCCACTGTATATAAATATATAATAAATATATAAACTTAAACTGGACAATATTGAGGTCATATAGATATCAACATATGTTCTGTCATTTCAAAAGCATCATCTCGTAATTGGAGATTACACCTGCATTATTATTATTATTATTATTATTGCTACACTTTTTTTCCCACTTGTATTATAAAAGACAGACATGGTCATCTGATTTATTGTTCTGCTTAAGCATCTTGACATCCCAGAGGCTCACTCTCCAAAGAGGCTATAAACTGGGATTGGGATATAAGGCTGGGATTTTTAAGAGCAGCTAAAGCAGTTGTTATATGGTTGTTGCATTGTGGAGGAATAGTATTTGATAAAAAAAAAAAAGGTGCTAGAGAAAATCACAATATGATCAAAAAGGTGGACTAAATACGAAATAATGTTGTTGTACTGGATGTTTTTTGTCTACACAATTTTGAAATGATTTAGTAGTTTCTTAATATTTAGCACACTTGATAAACTTTGCCCTCATTTTATTATCAGTGCAAACTTCAACGCTAAGTATCGCTAAAAAGTCTTAGAAATTAGGAAGTTTGGGTAGTTTGACAGATGTGTCTTGTATGTTAAAATAAACCATAAAGTGCAATTACATATGATAATTTATTCTCTGATCATTTTAGAATTTTTGTAAACATCTGAACATTTTACTATACACTATATGAGACCAGCTCTTGGGGTTAAACTATGAATAGGCAAAGATGTTATTTACCAGTGCATTCATTTATACTTTACAATCTCTACTTTTTAACCAATAAATTATGTTTTTTTAAATATATAGCTGCATTGCTTTTTTCCCTTCTGCATTTTTAAAGTTTACAGGCTTGTGCAAATTGTTCTTCTGATTAGTTTAAGTAAATTTCAAACAAATGCTAATGTACTGCTAATGGCTTTAAGTAGACGGTGCACTGCCCTACACCTCCCTAGTGGGATCAGACACACAGACTGACTTGCGTGGCCTTACTGTCTCTAAAATATTCCATTATGTCCTAATTGCTTCATTGTAAAGGACGTGTGTGTTTGAGAAGCGTTGTTGAGGCTGGAGGGTACAGCTCTAGTGTTTGGGTATGTGCGTCTGCTCTACAATACGCTTCTTTTCATACACCAAATAGACCTGGTCTATTGTTTCTTCAGACAGGCTCTTAAAAGCCTGAGACTCATTGTTTCCAGAAGGCTGAGCAGACTCGTGGCACACACACAAACACACACACACACTCACACAATGACCTCTGTCTGTACATCGCAAATGGCACCTCTTTTCTTATACCCTACGGCACTGTTAGAGGTTTGTTGAGGTCAGTGATTTGACCCACTCTCAGGCGTGTAGGTGTACAACATACATAATTATAAAAAAAGATCTATATTTAATCTTTTAAGACTTTACTTTTTTTTTCATCCTTGATAAAAAATGTATTCATGTATTTTCAACATGCATCAGTCATGTTAATTGTATATTTTGCCCCACTAGTGATTCACCTGAGCCACCAGCAGCACCGGGAGAATTTTGTGTGAGAGAGTAAAAGAGAAAGAGACAGGAAAAGAGAGAGAAAGAGGAATAAGCGTGCAAGCTGGACAGCTGTCTCCATCCATGCCTGAAATAAACAAGGGACTCGGTTGAGATTAATGATGGTCTAAAGAGCCATACAACCATGGCACCTCATCCAGGAATGTACTGTGTATAAATGGAAAGGAATGGACTGGAGGAGTGGGGTTGGAGAAGGCTGGCTTACCTCCAGAACATTCTTCCTTCTCTCAAATGACAGTCATTTTAATTCCTCTCTGCGCCTTCACTGGAACAAGGCAACAGGAGGCGTGTGAACTGTGTATCGCCCACTTGCTGTACCCACCTTCCTTTGTTATCACTGCATCTTCCAGTTCATCTAGAGTCTTTATTCATTCCTACAGACCTCACCAACAACCTTAGAGCAATTAAGGCAGGCTAAAGACTTAATTGGTCCTAAATTATTTACATTGTAAACAACTGCAGTTTCACACCTTTAGAATAAAAATGGCTGGGATAAAGAATGTCTTAATTGACACTTCAAATTAACTCAGAATTAGCTACTTATAAATTTTAAGACCCTGTTAGACCCTGTTAGGCTACTTTAAAGTTCTTGGATCATCACATACTGAATCATGGCTTGGATTTTTTTCCCAATACTTTAGATAGTGATGTTGTTTTTTAGATAAAATCATCTGAGTGACAGCATAACTAGAAAACTTACATCCTGTAAATGATTCCTTTGTACATTATGCATCACTATTCTTTTGGTAAGCCTTCTCATCTGTTACGGTTGACATATCTGCGGCTGTAATAGAAGGACATTTACTGCATTTCTTTGCACAAGTACACAAACAGGGCTATTTGATGAACAGTTTAATAAAGAGCATAACCTCTTGGGTCATAATTCTCTTTGACTTGCATATACTATACAAAGACTTATTTAAGTCTGCCAAGCACTGGCTGTTATGCACATCATCTGTTTCTCAAAGCCCACCATTACATCATAGCCTGATGTATTAACATCAAAAGAAGCCGTATTGTGGCAACAACTCATTAATATTTTGTTGAATATTGCGTCTTTGTTCGTATGACACTTCTAATACCATAAACACTTGAAAAGATTTTATACTGATAAAAATAATCTCTGTTTTTCATCTAGCCACAGTATACAAGCCTGGGGCTTCTCAACAGCATGGATCAAAATGGTGGCTCCACCTCCACCAGCCCCTACAACAACGAGCATGCTCAGAACAACGTAACGGCACCATCACCCTACGCCCAACCCAGCTCCACCTTCGAGGCCCTGTCTCCATCACCTGCCATCCCATCCAACACAGACTATGCTGGCCCACACACCTTTGATGTGTCCTTCCAGCAGTCCAGCACAGCCAAATCAGCCACCTGGACGGTAAGACATAGTGGATGTGTATGTGTGACACTTATGACTTTTATATAATTTTTTCATTGTTATATATTCAATATTGCTAGTAAACTACAAACAAAACCCACTTATACGATCATACCCAAAAAAACAAAAACAAAACAATTTCATATGATTTCATGGGGTTAGGTATTGGGGCCAAACCAATTCGGGAGCATAGAGAGGAGAGCATGTTGTCCCTTCAGTCTATATTGGGGTTAAGTGTCTGGCTTTAGGGCAACAACCAAATATTTCCTGGTGCAGAAATTGGACCTTCTGCCCTCAGGTCATAAATCACTCATAACCATTCATCCCATTTGTACATGGTATTTGTCTGTGAATTGAGTTTTTTGTTTTTTGTATTATGACAATGCATTGTGGTTCTATGTTACACAAAGATCAAGACTGTGTGATGTGCTAAACAAAAGCAGTTCATTTCTGCTGTCAAGGGTTCTTCTTCCTCCAGGAGGAGAGTAAAGTTTTTACCTGTCCGATCTCAGCTTTAGGCATTTCTGTGATCTATATGAAAGTTTTCAGTTACAAAACTCCACCTGGCCAAAGGGGAAAAAAAGGCAGGCATAGGTTTAAACTGGTCTGTTTTACTGCAAAGTAGACTACTACTTGAGATATGTTGTCTTTTTTGAGTGTTTGCACAAAATTAGTTGAAATAGTTGCAACCATATACAATTTACAAAAATCTTAATTAAATTATGTAAACAATAAAATGTATAAAAAATAACTAAATAGTTTTGATAAATTTATTTAAAAAAATAAATAAATAAAAATAAAAATTTTGGAAATTATAATATACGAAAAGAAAATTCTATCCAAAAAGGGCCATGTCTGACCCCTACTGGTGAGCTGTTTAATGGTGCATTATGTCTTTTTCATAAACCGCTATGTCCACATAGCGGAAACAATGCGCATCAGTGAGCATTACAATAGCTGTGTCACTGTCACTGTTTTGCATAGATAGGTGTCACCTAAACCAACTAAACCCGCTAGGCTAGTTGTAGCAGCACGGGAACGGGGAGCCTGATGTCTATCAACCAAAAAGTGGCTTTCGGTTGGACAGCGCACCCTAGCGGTTGCTATCTAGTTGTAGCTACTTAAGGTCTTAAATCTTATCTCCACGCCGTTACCTAAATTGACTGTATGTTGGCAATAAGAACTATGACAGTTATGTCATTTTGCGCTAAATGTGGCTAGGCTAAATTGAGAGCTTCAGTGGAAGTTATTTAATCACAAACATGAAATGAGATAAATATCTATGATTATTTTAGGCTAATCGATCCCAGCCATTATAAACCAATGCCTCATTAATCTTGAATTTGGCAGATTGTGGTCTTGAAAAACCAGTGAGTCAGTTGTGGTAATGCTGTCTCACATCTTTGAGTAAACAAGTCGAGCGGAGTTTGGTTTGCGAGTTGCTCAGTGCTCATTGGCTACAGTGCAGTGTGGGATTGTGACATTTACCCTATTCCCACAACAGCCCTTGTCATCCTCACTCCTTGACTTTACCAATACAGCAGAAGTTGTCAGACACCTCACCGTACTTAGAGCAGAATTCTGGGTGTGAGAAAGACACCACACCTTTGGTTGTCTCATTTAAGACATCCCTACTCATTCATATTTCCGTTTCTCACAGTGTATAGAAGGTTGTGAAGAATATCTCTTCCTTTAATTTTAATAACATTTTAGCCAAATGAAAGGCATTTTTGTGGCTTACATTTAATGTAACCCACACTTGTTCTTCGTACGCAGCTCAATCTATCCTGCATATAGCTTCCATGACACACACACGTATTTCCTGGCATCGCATCCTACCGCTCCTCATTTACAGGAAAGCTTTTGCAATCCTGCTTTTTTTTTTGTTGATGTCAATGATAAGACAAACCATACATGAACCTTTTTTTGTTCGTTTTCAATTTTCAGAGGAAACCCATCCCCTCTATCATTTTCAGTTCACTTTTTTTGGCTCGGTGTTTGTTTTGTTTGATGTTCTTTTGAGCAGAGCCTCCATTTGCATTTTCCTGTCAACCTATCAACAGCGCATTCAACGTACGGCACAGTTTTGTTTGCCCATTGGTTCACTTGTATAGAGCGCTGTGACCGAAGGAATGCGACCACTGGAGTTGTTGTCTCAAGAAGTGAGCTGGGGATTAGAAGAATGGGTCAGTAATACTCGTGTAAATACTCCATGCCTTCCTCCTGAACCCTACAGTGCCGAAGGGGTTGTTCCTTGCTCAACGAGTAAAGCTTGTCGACTGCGTCTCTCATAATGCCGCAGGACAAGGAGATGAGAATGAGGATAGAAGTTGGGAGAGGACAGAAGCACTCAAAGAGACGAGTGTTCCAGCGAAAGGTGGCAAGATATGACTTGTCCATGGAACATCTGCAGGCCCGTCCCACGCCTCGTGAGATGGAGCTGAGACTTGTTTGTGTCAACGAACCTGTCGAGACTCGTCTGACATTGCCACGTAAAGCCCTAAAACCTAGAGCAAGCAGAGGAAGAAGAAAGGAAAGGAGGGAGAGGTTAATTTACCAAAAAAAAATCTGGGGTTGAAAAGATTTTTATGATAGGGAAATGATTTCTAAGAAAGGCGTATCTAGAAAAGCCCACTTCTCTGACAGGTTCTGTTTGGAGATCCGTTGTTCTTGTTGTTTTGTGTCTTTGAACAATGAAAGATTACCTGTGCTTTTAAAGACCATGCAAGAGGTAGAGCTGGACTGAGTCAAAGAGAAGATCAGTCTGTCAGCACCAGTATAGCCGCCACGTCTGCTTTAGCTCACTTGCACGATCATAATCTGCATCTTCTCATGCAGTTGAGATGTCATAGTGCTACCTGAAAAGGTCCGGCATCTACTTATTAGACGTGACCTTAAATCCCACCTTTTGTGCAACACCTTTAGAGTGTAATTGAACGAGAACAGAAATGCAAACACCTTCATTTTCAGCGAAAGAAGAAATAAAGGTAGCTGTAAGGAAAGAATTTGGCAGCACTCAGGGCGACCATTGAGCAAAACGAGGGGAAATCCAGCATAATTACACCAAAGCTTGTCACACGTTTTCTGGGAAAGATCACATTTCCAAAGCATATAATTTAATCACAGGGCATTAACTAGTGCCAGGAAGCATTGGGGGCATTTGTTTACATCACTAGAGAAAGTATGAATCTGATGAGGGTTGGTTACATGATGATCTTCCTCCAAATGCATTACAAACATGGCAAGTTATTGATGTCTGAAAACCAGTTGCATTTAAATCTTGATATGTATGTTTTGTTTCATTGTTTTGTGCATATTTTTCACTTTGGAATCAAATGAAGTATATATGCATGAATACCATGCAAAGTTTTCAGGCATGATGAGCAACATCACAGCTGTTGATTCGCTATTCAAAACCGTAGCTGCATACATTTTGCTCAAACTAAGTTGTGCAAACATGCACTAGAGCAAACATCTGTTGCCCTGTTTTCCAGTGCAATGCATGAGTTATTAGCTGCAAGAACTATTATTCTAGCAAAAAATGTTAAGCACAGATAATGAGCAATGCCCTGTGAAACTTGCTTTTGAACGGCATTGCATTTTCCTATTGATAATTATATTTTTTGCACCCTATGCTCAAAGTTTTATTTCAAATGTTTGGAAAGCAAAACTCTGTAAATGGGTATTTTTATCATTGCACCAAAGAGGGGAAAAACACATTTTATTTATTTCCCAATGAAACAGGTTTTGGGCAAGACAACAGGCGTGACAGTACATGTCAGGTATGAGGTGGGACAAGACCAGAGGCGCCAGAGCGTTAGGCCAACCCGCCCTGCCATGCTGAGACACGAATACAGCCTTAGCCTGCAGCCCTGCTCTGTTCAAACACACTCAAACTACAGCTGCAAACTTGTCACAACATGTACAACACTGTATGTGTGTGCATTTGTTGTTGGTGTGACTGCGGTTTTACTGTGTGTGCACACATCTCTGTGTGTGTAGAAATCTCTTGAAGAAACCAGTTTACACTGCCGTTCAAAAGATTTTTTTCAAAGAAGTTTCTTATGCTCATCAAGACTGCATTATCAGTTTTTTTAATAATATTGCAAAATATTATTGCAATTTAAAATCATTGTTATCAGTTTTAAAATACTTTATGATATTTATTCCTGTGATGCAAAGCTGAATTTTTATCAGCCATTACTCTTCAGTGTCATAGAGTCCATCATTCTAATATGCTGATTTGTTATCAATGTTGGAAACAGTTGTGCTGCTTAATATAAATATGAATTTATAAGTAATACTTTATTCAGCAAGGATGTGATCAATTTAAAAAGGTGATAGTAAATACTTTTGTTTAGTTAAAAAATGTTTCTATTTTGAATAAATGCTATTCAAAGAATCCTGAAAAAAGTATTACACATTCCAAAAAAAGATACAAAGAAAACAAAGCAGCACAACTGTTTCTGCACATACTAAAAAAACATGTTGACATTTAGTCTAGAACTACAGTAACATCATGTTCACATAGCGCACACGCCTCTGCACTTACTCTCGATTTCTCTCAACATGACGAGAGCTGTCAGTCAAGACATGGGAAACAAAGTAACTGGCGTTACTTATTTGAAAAAGTAACTCCGATATTTCCTTCTAAATTGAAAAGTAATGCGTTACTTTACTAGTTACTTGAAAAAAAGTAATCTGATTACATAACTCGCGTTACTTGTGATGCGTTACCCCCAACACTGCTATTAACTATTTGATCGATGTTGACAGAACTAAGTTGAAGTACTAAAATCACAAACTAAAACTGAAAGTAACTAGAAAAGCTAAATAGAAAAATAAAATGTCATGTTTTTTTGTTTGTTTTTTTGCATGTAAGAAAATTAATCCTGAAACTTGTGATTATTGTAAGGTTATTCGATGACTGAATAAAAAACTTATTTGACAAGAAAAATAAATAAAAACTAGACTGTCACACTCAAATCCCCCTTTTCTGTTTATTTAGTTACTCTAACCTGTGTGTGTGTGTGTGTGTGTGTGTGTGTGTGTGTATTTGATCGATGTTGACAGAACTAAGTTGAAGTACTAAAATCACAAACTAAAACTGAAAGTAACTAGAAAAGCTAAATAGAAAAATAAAATGTCATGTTTTTTTGTTTGTTTTTTTGCATGTAAGAAAATTAATCCTGAAACTTGTGATTATTGTAAGGTTATTCGATGACTGAATAAAAAACTTATTTGACAAGAAAAATAAATAAAAACTAGACTGTCACACTCAAATCCCCCTTTTCTGTTTAAACAGTTACTCTAGTGTGTGTGTGTGTGTGTGTGTGTGTGTGTGTGTGTGTAATTCACATTGTAGCCCATGACTGGAACATAATTACACGTTAACACCACCGTGCCCCTCCCTGCAAAAAAGCCAATGCCTCCAATTCATCAGATCACTTTGTGGCCCCACCCTTGATGTATGTATGTGTGTGTTTTGTGTGTGTGTTTTTCCCTGTCAGACGTGGCTTATTTGGCCCCAAGCAAACACAGCAGCCTCCACACATATTTGCATTCTCAAAATGTGTTGCTTTAGGGCTAGAATTGGTACATCAACTGCTTTGTTTATCTGGTAAGGTTTGTAGGTTGGAGTTTACGATGTTACAAAATATGAAATAACGGTGTTTGTTGTCAGTATGTCAAGCTTCTGTCATTTATATCTGTCTCTGACTTTTTTGCCGGGCCTCTGTGTGACTGACCCTTTGGCATTCATGTCTACAACTCTCTCTTTGGTCCTACAGATCTTTCCTCTCCCCTTCTCTCTCTCACTCACCTCATTTAACTGAATGACAGGAGCGTACAGCGGCATATCAGGTTGGGAGCAGAGGGGCAATTACAGTTATTTATCTTTCTTTTTTTACAGAACACCTTTCAAAAAAGCGTTCAGTTCACGCACAAAACGCCTTCATCATCCACCGGTGAAAGCACCCTGGCGCTAAATTAGTCACAGCTAAAATGGGTCAAGTCAGTTCTGACAGTGCAGGTGATGAGTGTAGATGCTTCATGCTGTTGATATTCTGATGAAGACATCATCAGCAACTGATATGACAGGACAGGGGCCAAAAATATGGACTATTCAAATCTATTTTCAGTGCAGCTGACATAAAATGTGTACCAAAAAAAGGCTTAAATTTGTTCACATTAGTAAATGCATAAGTCGTAAACTAACAATGAGTTTTTGTACTGTATTAATTAATAATGATATGTGTATAGCAATTTATTAACTTGTTAATTTGTTATTTTTAAATATAATATTTTCATGTGAATTAAATGTTAATATTTAACATGTAAAAATGTATTCTTATATGCAGAAATTAACATTATGCTAGATTGTTAAGCTTTGGTAAAGATGTTTTTTTTTTCTTTTTCAATTTGTTATACCAGTCACTTCAGGAAATGGCCTGTGTGTGTGTGTGTGTGTGTGTGTGTGTGTGTGTGCCGCATTTTATATACAGTATAATTACCCAACGATATAACTGCGAGAGAGAGTATTGGAATATACATTTTCCCTGTGTTTCCTACATGCTGTGTGAGCTACTGAAATGAGCCAAACTGTGAAACAGCCAATCAGAGCAGAGCTCAACATTATTATTCATGACCCTTCCAAATAAGGTAAAAACAGGCCATTTCATTCTAGGGACAAATCCTAGGGTTTGTAGTAATGGACATGTAAAACCATTTCTGGAGATTTTTTTGACCTTACCTAAGCCACATACCTTCTATGTAGATATCAGAGAACAATTTAAAATATTGTATCAATGCATTCTATGGCACCTTTAATTCATTTTTATTTTAGTATTTTTTAGTACTGGGGGGGTCAAAAATGTTAAAGGTTGAGAACCACTTATTTAGATTCAAATAGACATTTGTTTTACTCATTTTATGACATAAATGAGGCCTATTAAAGGCATCCAAGGGCAAGTCTAAGCTTCTCATTGCTCAACACTAGAAATATCATCAGGGCAATCATTTTAACAGCAGATTTCTGTGTCAAAATGGTCCTGACGTCTTCATAGATGAATCATTCTTCAGGTGATTTGGAAAGCACATTTCAGTGTGTGTCCTTAATCATAGGTATATCTTAACCTGTGACAGCTGTAGGGCAGATCCAGAAGTCCTGTCGCCTAAAGCCAGCTGCTCTTCCCTTTAAAGACTGTTATATGGTACTTTTTCCACTAAAGGGTTGCCAAACTGCAGCTGTTTTATCTCTACATTGCCTGTGTTTGTGAGAAAGGCTTCTTTTCTTTTAGATAAAGAAGTGACCTTTGATGGATGTTTAGTATTAAAGCAACTACTATTACATTAGATTTTTTTTTTAAATAACTTAGAAAAAGTAACAAAAGCGCTCAAAGCAAAAACACTTTAGTACTACAGATTCAAATGAGCTTATATAGTTAAAATAGGAGTGCAGTTTTATTACAGATGCATAAAGTACATTTCAATTGTTTTATGGCAGTTACTAACCAAACTCTTCTCTCTTTTCTTTAGTACTCCACAGAACTGAAGAAGCTGTACTGTCAGATTGCCAAAACATGTCCCATTCAAATCAAGGTCCTTACCAACCCACCCCAGGGTGCAGTCATACGGGCCATGCCTGTCTATAAGAAAGCTGAGCATGTTACCGAGGTGGTCAAACGATGCCCGAACCATGAACTGAGCAGAGAGTTCAATGACGGTATATTACTTCTCTAAATGTGTTGTCTAGAAAAGCGATTAAACATGTTTTTAATATTAAGCTTTGTGATATAATTGGCTGTCTTTTGTGTTTAATAGGCCAAATAGCCCCACCCAGTCACCTGATTAGGGTTGAGGGAAACAGTCATGCTCAGTACATGGAGGATTCCATTACTGGGCGTCAGAGTGTGTTGGTGCCTTACGAGCCCCCTCAGGTGAACACACTCACACACACATTTCAGAGAAACCTGGCTGTCCGTACATACACTGCAGTGCACACCTGAAATCATTCCCAACAGATGTTCATTTAACATAACCACTCTAGAGAAATGAACAACGGTGAGTAGTGTATGACACAACTGTTCCCTATTAACAGGTGGGCACAGAGTTCACAACCATCCTGTACAATTTCATGTGTAACTCCAGCTGTGTTGGCGGAATGAACAGACGTCCTATCCTCATAATTGTCACTTTGGAAAGCAGAGAGTAAGACCTTTTTAAACACTGGATTGTGTTCCCCTCGAGGAAATACAGAAATATGCATTAATTGCTTGATGGTTTTTTCAGTGGTCAGGTTTTGGGTCGACGGTGTTTTGAGGCTCGTATCTGTGCGTGCCCTGGACGTGACCGCAAAGCTGACGAGGACAGCATCCGTAAACAGCATGTCAGCGATGGTACAAAGAGCAGTGAGGGTACGAAACGCCGTAAGTAGTGCTGGGGGCTGGTGACTGGGCTTCATCTAACTAACACAAACATATTTGCATCGCATGTTTCTTATTCCTAGATAGTTCTTACCTCCATACATACTGCATGCCCTTTGGTACAAACACACACTGCAACTTTTCCACCTGTCCTGTGCTTTAGCTCTATGTTTTGTGCTTAAGATCTTGTATTACGGCTGTTTCACTTCCTCTATCTCTGTCTTCCACAGCTTTCCGTCAGGCCTCTCACCTCTCTCAGCTAAACTCCATCAAGAAGCGAAGATCCACCGATGAGGAAGTGTTTTGTCTGCCTGTGAGTATCTCAAATGTGTTTTTCCAATGTAAATATTCACTAGGGGAATGTCGTTGTTTTTTTTTGAAAATCCACTTTTAAAGATCAATCTGCATTGTCTTCCATTCTGTTGCTCTTTATTTAACTAATTTTACACACGTTCTTTGTGAACGGTCCCTTACTTGACAAGTGTTGGTAAAAACTTTTATGAAACCTGCTTATATTATGCATTGTTGGTATTATTCATACTATATAATCCATTAAAAACAGGTTAAATATAATTATAATAATTGATTATTCATAACTGTTATTCATAATAAAAGTATAATTAAAAATTTTTAACATCAATGCATTGGGTGTACTCAATAAATTATCAATAAAATATTTTACAGCATTTATTAATCTAGGTTAATGTTCATTTTTACATATATGCTTTTACATATACTATTTTATATATTTCAAATTGTACATGAACAGTAGTGTATTACAAATTAACATTAACTTAGATGAATGAATGATGAACACCTTACAACACATTAAGAATACTTTTACATTTAAATTTGTATGTAGGCTTTACAGAAAGTGTCGCACAACTATTTGACACTGAAAAGATAATCTCTCATTCTTAAAGTAGATATTCAAAGTGAAGAATTGAGCATAATTCAGGAGTCTGACATCCAGGCTTACCCCTTCTCTCTCTTTCTCTGTGCTTCAGATTAAAGGCCGTGAAATCTATGAGATTTTGGTGAAAATCAAAGAGTCTTTGGAACTTATGCAGTTCCTCCCTCAGCAGACTATTGAGTCATACAGACAGCAGCAGCAGAACCTACTGCAGAAACAGTGAGTACCTTACACATGCAGGAAGATTCCCCAGTAAAAATGGGGTGATACTAGCACATTTGAAAATTTTAAAAAAAGATTCATAATCTCTTCGTTTTTATAATGTGACTAGCCACAGTCAAACTATAGGCACATACTACACTGTGTTAGCAAGGTCCACCCACAGATTGATATTTGTGTGTCAGTTTTTTAATAACTTGATCAACTTTATTGCTTGGTTTTAACACTTGTGGATTTGAATGTGATTGCTCATTGACTGACTGTGAACTGACTTTGTCATTTAAGTATTTGGTTTGTTTGTTCAGCAATTAATTTCCGCCCCATCTGAGAGTTTCTATAGTGCAAACACTGGAACTTAACGTGGCAGTTTAATTCTCTCACACTGATGGTATAATCTTGGCTGCTGCATGAAAGTATGAGGTTGGATTGCATCTTGCATGAGATTTGTGTTGTGCATCATTGATGTTGTTAGCCCTTAAGCAAACCCTGCTGTTATGATCGACATAAATTCACACAGTATTAATAACTGTTTTAAATTCTGCTTGGCTTCTCATTAAGGGTGTACCTTGCAGAGATGGTGCTCTGATTTATTCAGCCCCCCCATTTTATGACATTCGGATTACCTCAGAACTGAATCTGAGTCAAACAAGTTTAAACTCTGCCTACAAATTGTTATTGGTCTTCATGGTAAATGCAAATTTAGTCTGTACTCAGCCATTAGCATAGTTTTCTCAGAAATACATTCTGTATCTGCTGTAATAGTGCTCAACAGAGGGGGAGGGAGAGACCTGTAAATTGTGCTTTAAATGAGCCTTGTCGCCCTTACACTGGGATTTGGATGTCAATGCTTTTCTTCCTGTAAATTTCCTTAAGACAGCTTAAAGCATCCACACCCAACTGAGCTGTTCAATCATGACGTCAGTTTGTAGGTCAACTGGATTCACCATGGATTCCCTAGGGAAGTTCTAATAGTCTGTTTTCAATTATTGAGTAAATTAAAGAGTTAGGTTACGTAATCACACATATATTTTGGCAATTGTAGTCATTATGTTAGCAATTGTTGTAGAACAGAATGTGAAAATGGTTTAATAATGTTAACCACAGACCACACTATAGGTTTAAATCAAAAATCACTATTCTAAAACCACATAGATGTTCCCAAGGGAACCCATGGCTCAAAAATGCTTATTCTCTACTGGGTTTTAGGACTATACGCTGCTAAAACAGCTCAAAGTGCTCTGTTTAGTGTGTAGAAAGGCTGTTGATTTTAAGGTTCATTTTATCTTCTCAAGCTTTGGTCTGAGCTAAATAACTAGGTAGCCATTCTTTAAAACTGTCCCATTGTAGGACAAAGACCGAACACACGCTGTGAAATGTGCATCTTTTTAGTATAGCATGTTAATGCAGTATATATTAAAGGCAGCCTCATCCTTGTTCTGATTTTTGGTTAACATTTCCAAGCAGCAAATGTTGTTTGATCCTTATCAGCATTGTCTGCATGCCGTTACTTCTCTCTTTCATTCATAAACCTGTTTTTCTAACTATACTTTTTTTCTTCCTTTTCAATAAAGCTCCTTCTGCCTTAGATTCAGTGGGTTGGGTGTTTTACTTTGTTGATTTTCCTTTTCATACTTTCTCACTCTTTCTACAGTTCAAACACTGAACTTATTCCTTCCTTAGTTGCAACGTACTGCCACCTTGTGGAGAGATTGCACATTGCTAAAATATGAAAAAAAAATCATGCATCCTGTTTTGTTACTGTATCTGATGTTTCATCATTGTTTGAGACTTTCAATAGCTGACATCATTTTTTTTTCAGCGCATTTAAATCACATAATGTAAATTTATTCAAATGAATGAGGCTTGAAAGATTTGTATATGCATAATTTCACAACATACCACATTTCTTTTAGGCAAATACTCTGTACAATTCAAGTTTGATTTACTCATAATCAGCTGCTTATCATTGGGGTCTCTCTCTTTCTATTATTTAATGATACAGTCTAATAACTTTTAATATTGTCACGTTCCATTCTTCCTGACATTTTGCTATTCCTCCACTTTTTCTTTCTTTCTTCTCTCTTGCCTGCATTTTCCCGTCTTTCTATTTCTCACTGTCTATCTTTGACTCTTTCCTACAGCCTGTTAAGGGCCCGTTTGCGCTCTGAGCTTCTGGACCCAATAGGTGAGCAGAAGAGGTGCTTCAGTGCTTCCTGAAAGTAGGAATCACATTCCTCCTCCCTCAGAGCATCCCTCACTCATCTCTCTCCATCTCTTCTTCATCTCATCCTCTACCCCTCAAAGGGGCTCCCTGTGCTTCTCCAAACCGTCACCTGTGGTAACTCCTAGACTTTTTCTATGCCACAAATAAGTTGAACACAGGATTTTGTTTCTACCACCTAAACACCTCGTTTTAAATATGTGAGCTCTCAAGTGAAGTCATTTTAGATATTTTTGGAAAGTTCATTGCATGATTTTGTCCCTACAAAGTGTATTATCTAGACTATGGCGCTCATTTATCAATTGAAATAATCCATTTGTGTGTTAAATTTGCTTACCTTACAGTCAGATTTAGTTGCATTAGTATTATTGTTCAATCATCTGAAGTGTCAAAAGTTTCTTAAAACATTTCATTGTCCATACTTTTTTTTTAATGTTTCTTAAAGGGCCCTTGTGACTGAGGCGGCTTGTTTCCTCAGCATTTATTGTGTTTGTTGGACTGATCTGCTGGTATTGCACAGAAACCCATTGCACATAAACAGTATAGCAACTTCTCAGCTGACCACCTTATTTCTCTCTTTCTCTCTTCTTTCCATCTGTTTTTCTTCTTTCTATCTATCTAAACAATCCTGGATGTCGAAACTGACCAGGAACCAAGCACACATCTTTTTTTTATGGGACTCATAGTTTTTCTGTAAGATCTTGATGATGGTTCATCTTAAATAGCTTTTTGTTTTTGCCTCTGTCTTCATTTTATTATTGGAGCTGGACTCATTGAGTTGTCTATAAATATGGGGGGGATAGACTTTATCGATGACTGAATTTTGATAATGCTGGTCATGTTTTGTAAAGTGCACTGCTGGGCAGTAATTTGTGTGTTTTGTCTTGATTATTTGTTCATTTTCTTAAAGATGTATTTTCTGCTGTGTACATGGCAGTTAAGAGAAAAGGAAATGAATGCTATAGTGTTGACAGATTCTTTTGTTGTTTCATATGAAATGAATGGTTGTTGTATTCTCAATGGCTCTTGCACTTTTGTCAGTTACTACTATTCAATAAATGACTTCTCTGCTTTTGTGTTCCTATCCCTGCTCTTCCTCTTTATTCTCTTTTCTTCTCCTTTATTTCTCGACTGTTCTTTTTACTTGAATTGTCAGGGGCTTTTAGTCAGGGCATTTAAAACTATCAATAATATCAACAAAGAAAGTAACATTCAGAATCATTTAAAGGGCAATTCTTACTCTCATGTCATTCCAAACCTGTATTATTTTTTTCCCTATGGAACATAAGTAACCAAACCATTTTGATTAAAAAAATGAAACTATAAATGTTTGTAACATAATTAAATGATGGCGTTTTCTTTGTATGTGTGAACTATCCTTTTAATATTATATTACACATGTAGTTCATTTAAAAAAAATTAAATTGTATTTGTTATTTACACTTAAAGTACCACACATGTATATGGATTTAGTTTCCTCTCAATGTGACTTTTAACCCATATGCATGTTTATACCTCTTTGTTAAGAATTACAGAACTACACAGACATGTTCTGTGTTTCTCCACAGTTTAGGCCTTCCACAGTGTCCAAAACATTAATAGAAAGCATTTAATCATGACAAGGTTGCACATTTTCTGTAATGTCCATGTGTAAGCTTATGCAAGAGACTTGGCTTCAGTAATATACAGAACCTGTATCATCTTCTCTCCCTCAGGAGCTCTCTGCCACCCCAGTCTGCCTTTGGTTCCAGCTCACCCACCCTCTGCAAGAACAAACTGCCATCAGTCAGTCAGCTCATGAACCCCCAACAACGCAACACACTCACCCCATCCAGCATGTCTGGAGGACTAACTGACAGTAAGGCTTCTATAAAATCATTAATAATTTAATTAATATACGTATATTCATAGTTTGTCTACAAATGTGGCAGTGTCGGTTAGGGCTAACAAAAGATCTTATATTCGAGTTAAAGTGATTTCGGATCTAAATTGTACAGGAAGAAAGTGAACCCTTTCTCGCTAGTGAAGAATATCCTGTCTGGGCTTGAGAAACACTCAGTTCTCAATGTCAATCTGACAGAGTTCCCTTTTAAAATTGAACTAAATCTTTGTGGGACAGTCTGCCTTCCCTTCGGCACACTTTGGCACTGTCAAAATGTACTTACACATGACAAATATGCATTCTCCTTTGGCCTGCTGTGTGAAACTTGCCTCAGGTTTCACATGTTCTGAGATTACCTAATCCATATTTAGTGCCCTCAGGTGTTTGTTATTTCAGTCAATTTCAGTCAAAGACTTGACAGTTTATGTAGAGAGAGTGTGTGTGTGTGTGTGTGTGTGTGTGTGTGTGTGTGTGTGTGTGTGTGTGCATGTGTGTGCGTGTGTGTGTGTGTGTGTGTGAGTGTGAGAGTGTGAGAGTGTGTGTGTGTGTGTGTGTGTGTGTGTGTGTGTGCATGATATATATATAGGCTATAATAAATGTGGGCAGGATGGGGACAGAAAATATTGCATGATTTTATATTATTGGTAACACATTGGATAAACATTAGTTAATGCATTTGCTATCTTGAATAAACAATGAATAATACATTTTTTCCATATCGGTCAGAAGTTTGGAATCGTTAACATTTTTTTTATGTTTTTGAAATTAGTTTCTTATGCTGACCAATCCAGCATTTATTTAATAAGAAAATAAAGTAATATTGTGAAATATTACAATATTTAAAAACAAAAACTGTAAAAAAAAATTAAAAAAATCAGTATTCTTTGATAAATAGACAGTTCAGTTTTTAAAAATCGTACTCACCCCAAACGTTTGAATGATAATGCATAACAGTTTCCACAAAAATATTAAGCAGCAACTGTTTTCATCATTGATAGACATGTATCCTAAGCACCAAATCAACATATTAGAATGATTTCTGAAGAATAATGATTTCTGAAGAATAATGTAACCCTGGAAACTGGAGTAATGGCTGCTAAAAGTCAGCTTTGCTACCACAGAAATAATTACATTTTATAATAAATATTATAACAGAAAGCAGCTTTTACTGTATTTTTGATTAAATAAATGCAGTATTGCTGAGCATTAAAAATAAATAAATAAACAAACGCCCAAACTTTTGACCGGCAGTGTATTCTTCATTGTTTTTCTCATGCTTTTTTCATTATAGTTTGTACAAATTACTATGAACAAGTATTATGCTGTAAAAGTTTATATTTTATGATTAGTTCCTAATACCTAATGCATTAACTGATGTTAACACATTGAACCTTATTGTAAAGTGTTACCATTTTATTTCCCTTCTTTTGAGGTTTATTACAGTCTCAACCCTTTCCCCTCCCTTCAGTGACCCCTCCCATGATGTGCGGCCCTGTTCCCATGAACACGGACATGAGTGCCCTGAGCCCCACCAACCCCCTGCAGCCTCAATTACAAATGGTGCCCTCTCACTGCACACCTCCGCCACCCTACCCCATGGACAACAGCATTTCCAGGTACACAAATACACTTACAGTAAGTCTCTCTGAAATGGCTCACAGGTGAAAGTGTTATAGCATTACTGTAATCATGTTTTAAAACTTCTGAAATCTGTCAATTTCAGCTTCCTGTTGAGGCTGGGCTGCTCAGCCTGTTTGGATTATTTCACAGCCCAAGGACTGACCAATATTTACCAGATTGAGAACTACAATTTAGAGGTGAGGAATTTGCCTTTCTCCTTAATGTTTTTCATATCAGTTTTCATTTGAAAAAAAAAAAAAAACTATTTAGCAGGTGCATGTTAGAAGGTATAATTCATGCAAAAATGAGAATTAGCTGAAAATTTACTCACCCTCATGCCATCCAAGATGTATATGAGGTTTTTCTTCTTTATCGCAACTGATTTTGAGAAATTTAGCAACTTGCTCTGCAGTGAATGGGTGCCGTCAGAATGGGAGTTCAATACAGCTGATAAAAACATCACAATAGTCCACAACACTACTCAATTAACATCTTGTGATCTGAAAAGCTGCATGTTTGTAATAAATCCATCAAGACGTTTTAACTTTAAACCTCTATCCATATTATTGCAGTACATACAGAGAGAAAAACTACAGAGAGAAAAAAAGAGAAATATGCAAAGATCATGCACTGTCTAAAACAGATGAATATGGTTCCAAACAAATATTTTGCTGTATTTTGAGAGGACAACAGGGGATAGATTTTTTCATTGGACTCATTTTGTTAAAGTTCAAACATCTTGATGGATTTTTTATTTTTTATTTTTTTACAAACAAGCAGCTTTTCACTTCACAAAACCTTATTTCGTCAACGAGTTGTGTGGATAATTTTTGGCTTACTGTGATGTTTTGAACTCTCATTCTGACGGCACCCATTCACTGCAAGGGATCCATATCAAAATATGCGATCTAGTGTGTCTGGGTTGACAGAGAGATCAGAGCAGTGGCTACTGTATTCATGAGCTCTGTGGTATATCTATCCACAGGACTTGTCCAGGCTGAAGATTCCCACAGAATTCCAGCACATCATCTGGAAAGGAATCATGGAGTATCGACAGACCATGGAGTTTTCTCCACCTCCCCACATCTTGCGCACCTCTAGCGGGACATCCACCGTCAGCGTGGGCTCTACCGAAGCCAGAGGCGAACGTGTGATCGATGCAGTGCGTTTCACTCTTCGTCAGACCATTTCATTTCCTCCACGAGACGACTGGACCGATTTCTCTTTTGACCTGGCTCCAGATTCTCGCCGCAACAAGCAACAGCGTATCAAGGAGGAGGGAGAATGAACGTAGTACATCACAGTTCACAATAATACACATACATACAATGTCAACAGTGCACATTTACTGCACACACACACTCATGCGCTGTTTTATATTAACACACTTGGTGTTGGTCCAGATCGTTTCACAGTTTTCCTCTGCAAGTGATGATTTAAAAAAACTGTGAGCCTCATAATCTAGTTCACTTAAACTTAAATAGGCAGATAAAATGCACTTAAAGTCCTTTATGGTTTCATTTTTCTTCTGGTGGATTTAGCTCTGGTTGTCATTTCAAGCCCCTTTATTGAACGCAAACAGCTGTAGCTGAGGGGAAATGGTGCTTTGCTAAATTGTCGTTCTTACTGTTTCTTGAGACAAAGCACTTAAGAAATGCTAACATATTGTTACTACTTGCAAAATACACACTGAACTTTTGGGGTTTCTTTTTTGTTACATGGCCAAGGGTATATTTCTGTTTTTTTGTTTGTTTTCCTTTTCCTCCCAGCGGGAGCTTTAGTGTTAATTGTATTCTTTGTGACGGTCATTCCTTGCGGTTGAACAATGTCTTTTTTTTTTTTTAAATGTTGCCGTATGTCAGCTTTGATTGTATGTATTTCAAATCGCACATGGTTCTTTTCTTTATTCTCACAGAAAGTGTTATTCATCCATGGTGTAAGACTGATGTTGTCATGTAGCCTTTATGTAATACTGTAAACCCTTCTTTGTATCTTTTATTTGTTGCAAACACTCTTGATACTAATGCATTGCAGTGTGTAAGTATTGAATGCTTCTGACAGTTGTGGTAATCCATAGACATGCTGTTTACTGGCCTCTAAAAGTATAAAAGTGACTTACATTGATACATTGGCAATGTAATGTGGCTTCAGTATTTTTTTAAACAAATTTCCACTTCACTTGATACTTGTTATTAGCCTGTTGTGGCAATATTGTACAGATTTTTTATTACGCTTTCATGTGACAACTGAGTAAACAATTCTTTATCAAACTATTAAGGAATTATTGTAAATATTTTGCAGTGTACTTATTTTGATATAAACAAAATAAAACAAATATTGACAAATACATTGATTGTATTGTTGTACAAAAACAATCGTTTTATTTAAACAGAATAGTCAGATATGGTGGACCTCATTTTGATTTATTTAAATATGAGATATCAATAGCATTCTGTGGTTTAACAGAAAGGTTCAAAAGTTTAGCATTGGGAACATGATCCTCTTAATATCCTTTCATGTCCGGGACGTAAGGAAATCTTATTCTCTTTTAAGACTTTCAAATTAAATTTTTAGAACTTGCATAGTGTGACAAACTGACAGGGCTAGTTTCAAAAATGTTATGTATCCCCCTCCCTTAATCTTAACGTTACCTTTAGTTTTCCTTACATTCACTTGACTTGCGTATACATATAGTTTTGATGGCTACTGGATTTCACAAGCCATTTTTTCTTTAGTGCTTCAACCTTAATACTTGTATTACTCAATAGCTATTTCCAATAGAAGCTGATAGGCATCCTAAACTTCAGATTCTCAATACATTATCTGGTAAACTTGGCCATTGGCTTAGAGAAGACCCATTTAACTTTTAACTGTCTCACAAACCAGTTCCCTTTAATCTTGAAAGCTGCGATCACAAAACAATTGTATGGAACCAGAAACTGACAAAAGGTTCTAATCATTTCAGGGAGTTTTAGTCAATCAGCACAGAGGTGTATGGAAGCAGAGTTGTATGGAAGTATTCATGTGTCACACTGGTGTAACCACTTGTACAAGCAGCATCCTGTAGGGCAGAATACTTTCCAAATATGAAAATGAAGTATAGTTATTCACCTCGATGCCTGTGATGAGGCTCCTGGTGAATCTGTTTGCTCTAAAAACACTGCTCTGATAAATACATCAAACCCTTCTCAGTTACATAAGTATGCAGCAATATATGATGTTTACATCTTCAAATGGCTAAAGAATTAGTGACTTCAAACACTGAAGCAGATAAAGAGCAATGAAGTTCCTTGATTGAGGTTCCACAACCGTATTCTCATCCAGAGGAGCAGTTTGACTCATATAAAAAGCTATAGCTCATTAAGGCTCGAGACAGATAAAGGAGAGATAATAAATCGAACTTGCTTAATTAGGTCAGGTTCTCAAAACAGAAATCATAATCACGAAGCAAAATGAACAAAATAACCATTTCTCATATTGACATCTCCAAGCCCAAAGTTTTAGAACTCCTGTCAATCATGATGGCAACGTGCCCAAAGAGTCATGACAGAACTCCACCTCAGTGTTGCCCAGGGAGGAGGTGGGGGGGGGATGATGACGAAAAACAGTGTGGGAATGCTCTACTCCCTCCTTCCCCTTCAGGCGGTTTTGGTTGGAGCTGTGGTTGTCTCCTGGATGACCAGAGTGCAGCATCTCTGATGTCTCGGTCATTAAGAGCTCTCCATAGCATCCAAAACGTTCATGATTTGCTGTTTGATGACTTTAGTGGCGTCACCGGCATTTGGAATTAAATACCTTCAGAAAATAAAACAAGAAATATCAGAATAAAGTTAACTAAAATAAGACTAAAATAAGTAAAATAAGTAAAAAGTAAGGAAGTGTAAAGCATTATAATTTTAACTGAAAAATCAATGAGTTTAATTTTGAGTTTTTAATCGAAAGTACAAATATCTGTATGTACTGTTAAGCTATTAGCGATTTAGAGTTAACAAACTATTAAATATATTTTTGTGCACTGAAAAAAACTAAAAATTACAAGCACATGATACAATTTGCCATAGAAATGTAACGCTTTACATTAGCGTTCCATTAGTTTTCAACATTAGTCAAAACAAACAATGAAAATACTTTGAGCATTTATTAATTTAACCATGTCTAAACAACAACAACAACAACAAAAAAAAAAAAGGAATAAATAAAAGGAAAGGGTATATTTACAATTGCTGTGTTAAAAGAATTTAATGGACCTGAGCTAACATGAACAATTAACAGTTCTATTTTTATTAACTAATAATAACAAATGACTTAATACTGTAACTAATGTATTACTCATAGTTAATTATGGTTAATGCATTGACTAATGCTTGCTAATGAGAACCTTGTAAAAACAAATTAAAATGACAACTGAAATGCATAAATCAAGAGCTAATTTAATTTGATACTAAAATAACACTGGTTATTTTATACAGAGACTAGGAGATAATGTGAAATTAAGTTAAAAATAAAAAAATACAATGGTGTCCCGATGTCAGTTACCATACCTCTCCACAGCCACTATCTCCACTCCTGCAGCATTGTTGTTGCCAAACTTAAAAGTGATAAGTTCTGGATGCTTCTTCTTGGAGGTGATCTTCACCACAGAGTTTAGGGCCTGCCTGGATTGGATGTAAGCAAAACCTTTCCGGGCAGCGATCTCTCTCAAACAGTACATGTGTGTTGCAGTGATCAGCAGATGGCTGTGGAAGATAAAACAATAGAATTACCCACCACTATCCATCTTTTTCTTCCCGTAAAAATGGGCGCCGCCATCTGTAAATTCTATGGGTCTAGCTTCCAGCTATTTTTAGCTGTACAAACCACTTTGTTTTGCTGCTTGATATTGAAAATTGGTGTGTCTTACCATATTATTTTAATGTATTATCTTAATTATGCTAAAAGTGCAAACAGTTTTACCGTTTACTGCACGTTGTTATTCTTGTTATTTCCCTATAGCGGCTAATGAACCGGAAGTCTTGCCCATAGGCTTACTTCCGCGTTAAAGAAAAAGGTGGATACTCAACCCACCATCTGGGATGACCCAGTATCTGATGGGCGGAAGTATCATAACATAACAGTTTTTCACATGCAACAGTATTATTTTACTGACTACATTGGCTAACATAAAATATAACTTATGTTAATTATTTTTATTAATTTTAATTATTTTTATTTTTATTTTTTCAGTGGAATTCTTGGAGGGCTAATTCCATGTTGCATGTTCAGACAGGTAGCTTCACCTTGGGAACATGTGTCCAGTCTCCTTAACTTCATTGCATGGAATATGGTGCTTCACATCTGGTTTGTTGATCCAAGTCTGAATATTGACAATCTCTTTCCTGTCATCATCTGATATTGATGAGCTGTCAATCTCATCTGAAAAGAGGGAAGGAAATAAGAAAAGCATTGAATAAAAACACAGAGACACAGATGAGATGATGGAGTGTACCAATGCTGAATTTCTAAATATCTAGTTATATGAATCTAGTATATGGGATTCTTTTTTTTTTTTTTTAAGGTGAAAGTGGTCACCTTTTTTCTTTTAATTTCTACTTTTGTTCCAAAAAAAGAAAAAAAGGCTTTTGAACAACAATTGTGACCAAAAGTTTACACCAAAACTTAACGACCACATTTTAATTTTTTTTTTATTAATTTTTTTTTAACAAAATTCTAAAATTAAATGTAAACAGAAGTGAATAAATAAAACAGAAGTGTTTTGAATATATTATCTTAATTATATCAGACAAGGATACTCAAACTTGCCTCTGCACCTAAACCACGAAGACCTTGATTAACTGGTTCAGATCAGTGTTATTTTAGCATTTATTATATAGTAGTATTCATTCATATTTTTAAATATTATTTTATTTTTGTTTGTTTTTTAAATCGGCTTTTGACTTTTATATTTCTGCTTAGCTTTAACGTAGTTTTAGTTTACTACTTCAACTTAAGCTTATTTCTGTTATTTGCCACAGCAACATTTCTATTTATTCATTTAAGTTTCGCAAGTTTAAGTTTTTCATCTAATATTTATATTTTATTACAGCTTCATTTCAATTACCAAAAAATAAATAAATAAATAAGTAACTGTTATATATAACGATAACACCACTGGAGCAAGTGTGTATAAGCCAACTCTGCAGGAAATTGCAAGTCGAGTTCTCCAGGCTGGTTAAATTTGTGTATTTACCTGTATCATACTCTTCCTCATCACCAATGCTGAAGACAGGCTTCACACCCCTGTATGGCTTCCCCACCCGATCACTGCTGCTTATGTGCCTGAAGGATATATAAGAAAAAAGCACCATATGCACTTACAAGACCCACTAGAAGAATAAAGGTATGTCCTTCACACCAACATTGTTTTCCTTGTCTTAATACAGGCATTCTAAGAGCATGGCAGTGAGATGAGGTGTCCTCTAGGATTAGAAAGGTGAGTACTGTTAGTTGGAAGAAAGGCAAGTTAACAAGTTTGCATTTTACCAGAGATGAGAATCACAGTGTGGAAGGCCAGGCACTTCACAAAAGTGAATGTTTTGAGTCCATTTTACTTTAACATTTAATCACAACTGCCCCAGTCTTCCACAGCTGTGATCAAATCTGTATAAAAACAATGAAGGACTGTGGTCTCTCTCCACACAAGTTAAGAACATATAAGAGGACCCAGACAGCAGAGATCAGACTTCAGACTGCGGAGACAGAAACTGCTGGCGTAAAACAAAGACAGGCACAAAGTGGCAAATGTTTAGAGGTCAAAACAGCCAGCACTGTCAGAAAGTGACAAGACCTGTGGTTCACAGCTTCCACCATTCCGAGTGGTGTTTGTGAATTCTACTACACATGCGTGTGAATGTCTGGTAGTGGATGACAAAGTAGAAATTTCTAGAATGTTACTCTACTCCGACGGCATTCTCGAAAGAATTTTAGCAGGAAACAGGAAATTCAAAAGAATGAAAAGGATATCTGTACTATAGATGCAGGTGATGCAGATGCATATGGTGTTAGAGCATACATGAGTGTGCCATTTAATAAGGGTTTTAAAAACCCCTACAATGAGCTAAAGCTGACAGCGCCACCTTGAGAGGGCATGTTACAGAAACTGGATGAACGCTAGTGGCGCACAGACAAACATTAATGAAGTCTTACCGATCCAGTATTCCCTTGTCTGGCCAGGGTAGATTGAAAGACATTCTAGTGTGAAATAACAGGGCATAGGTCGGGAGGATGATTAAAACAGAAAGACTTCAGAAAATAAATCACTTTAAAGAAATCCCTCTACGTAATATAATTTAAGTTTGTTTTTGTTTTTCA